TATTGGCATCGAGTTGCTTCCGGGTGGTAGATTGTCCGATCGGGAATGGTGCTGAGTGAAGACCCAGTTAAGTTGCAAGATTTGTTTGGATAGCTTGAGTACTAGTGTATCCATGTCCGTCCGGTATGCGTTTTCCCCCTTCAAAGTGTAAAATGTTGCTAGATCATCGGGTTGGTCCAGCCCCAAACCTCACTTTATAACTGAGGAAGTAATAGAGCAAGAAGACAAGTTTTGTTATTTGGGAACTGAGTAGTATGGTTGAGTGTCGTGAATATTAATGCTCGTGCCTCGTTTTGATTTCTTTGCACCCCTAGTCTACGGAAATTCCGCATTTTCTCTTCGACTCTACTTTGAATTTTTCTATCCTCCTGCTCCTCTATCATCCAAAAGGAGCAGCCAAACGACTACAACCGAAACCGACACATGAAAGTGCATTGGTAATAATTGTACGAACTGAAGCACAACTCACTGAAGAGATACATTTGAAGATTTCATTCTGGAAGTTGAAAAAAAAAACAAAGTTGCCTTATCTTTCTCGTATGGTTCCGCATATGGAATCACCAGTTAGGGCCATTCGAGACTGTGATACCGGGACAATTGGAAGAACGATATGATCGAATCACCGCTGTTCCCTAATGGAGTACGTTCCATCCAAGGCGTACGTACGCCGTTGGTCGGAACGATAGGGCTTCCTAGGATTACCTTTGGTTGATAGATAAGCATGAGGATGAAAATAGAAGAAGCATAGCGGATAAAGATGATTGGAGGTGTGTAGACGGATGGATCCAAGTCGGTCTCTCGGATCAAGTCAAGTCAAGTCAATTAAAGCTTTATGCACCCGATAGGATGAATTTTCAGCATTTTCGACATGTTACAGTTGAAAAAAAAAAACGTTAAGTATCAGAAAAAGAAGAAAATATACGTTTACTAAATGACAAACAGATGGGTTTACGTAAAATCCTAATGTGAGAGATGATTGTTCAAGTCAGCAATAATATTTGCTCGGTTGATCAAGATGCGAGCA